TATATATATATATATATGGGCAATTGTCTGATATAATGGGCGATAATTTATAAAATATTATTATGATTTTACACTATATTTATTAACGTCTGGCTGTTGCTTAACTTTCTTTATAAGACAGCGAAAACTCTCTTTGAGTTTAAATCTATTGCTAGGTAGTTTAGATCTATAATTCTTGCATTTAATCCCTTTCCAATATAATTAGAAGTAGAAAAATAAATCCTTCAATTAATTATAATTAAAAAGATACTGCTGTAACAGACCAGCAGAAATTATCTTTTTTCTCTACACTATAATTTAGGCATATTTTTTAAGCTTACGTTATTCTGAGGGTAAAATGCCCAACTAAATGAAAGAATAATGTGTTTTATTTAATGCCAATTCAGAAATATTACTTTCTAAAAATATAAGTGCTGCCATAATTCTTTACAAGAGAAAATCATTTCCCGTAACAGTCCCAGATCAGAGTAAAATTTAATTTTATCACATTTTTAATAAATATTTCAATTTACGTAATTCTTATTATTATATTGGCTGTATGCCCAAATAAATCTATAGCTCAAAATTTTTCTATGGAACTCTAATGAATACTTATGAAAAATTTCAATAAACACCAAACTATCGATCACTCTAATTTCTTGTTTTTTTCCGCAATATACATATACCTACTAAAAATAGTATTTAAGCATAGAACACTAGTAATTACAAATACTTACTGAGTACTCCTCTACTATGATCTGCACAGTTTCAGCATACATGTCATTCTTAAGAAGAGAAAAATACATTAGATAAATTGCATATATATATATATATATATACTACACAAAAATCTTATAGTAATCTTTTCATGTTGCTTCCTTGTCTGAATCTTCCTTATTTTTATTTCAAACAAAACGCTCTTTCTCATACTTTAATATTCATATCATGTCTTTTAATCTATTGGCTTGCAGTTATGCATTAATTAACATTTTATAGCTTTCCCTTTACAAACCGTGAGAAAGACCTTTTTTCCCTCGACATTTTTAACAGACCAATTATAATTATTCAGATTTCCCTTATTCTCTAAAACGAAACATTTTTAAGGATTTATTTTGCTAAATTTTCCCTAATGTTTATTGAAGAGAACTTCGATTTTGCGTCACTTGAATGCTAGCACTTCAAGAATGTTTCTTGATAAATAGTAATTACGAATAGCCTGGTGCCTGAAACCCCTGCTTATTTTCACCAATCGGCGACGTTCTGATAAGCCGGCAGCGTGAAAAACAGGTGCCAGGCATGAATTATTAGACTTTTCTTTTTCAATCTCGTGATTTTTTTTTAAGATTAATAAAATGCTCGTTACTTAACAGATATATAAATATAAAAAAAAGCTCTGACGCCGACACTTCGCTGAAGATGGAGCGGTTGAGAGGAGATGCCGAGGAGAAGGCTCCGCTGCTGGGAGAGGGGGAAAAGAAACTCCTTTGCTCCGTTGCTGGGAAAGGAAGAAAAAAAAGTTCCATTGCTCCGCTGCTGGGAAAGGAAGAAAAAAACTCCTTTGTTCCGTTGCTGGGAGAGGAAAAAAAAAACTCCTTTGCTCCGTTGCTGGGAGAGGAAGAAAAAAACTCCTTTGCTCCGTTGCTGGGAGAGGGAAAAAAAAGCTCCTTTGCTCCGTTGCTGGGAGAGGAAAAAAAACTCCTTTGCTCCGTTGCTGGGAGAGGGAAAAAAACTCCTTTGCTCCGTTGCTGGGAGAGGAAGAAAAAAACTCCTTTGCTCCGTTTCTAGGAGAGGAAGAAAAAAAAAGCTCCATTGCTCCGCTGCTGGGAGAAGGGAAAAAAGCTCCATTGTTCCGCTGCAGGGGGAAATGAAAAAAAAGGTTTAATGTGACAGCTTTTCCGCATCTGCAAAAATGAAAAAAAGCAGTAGTTCACATTTACTAAAGAGATTTTTCGATAGGATTATAGTATAGATAAATTCAAAATTTATTTGGATCAGTGCTCTTCGAAAGTGATTTGTGGGGGAAAATATTATTATGTTAATCATCAGTGATATCTTGTGAGCAAAAGATTTCTAAGCCTGTTGTTTTTACTTTAAATATTTACAAAGTATATCAATTTTAATGCAAGGTGATAACAGTGGATAGACTAACGATTTTAAGTCTTTAAATGTGTTCATCTCAAAATCAGTTTTTTGCACATTTTGCATCACCTTAAACACATATCTCATGCTGTTTTTAAAATAATTGTCTAAAATTTTTTTCGAGTATTTATTATTATAGTACGCATGTTTTGAACTACTGACTATTAGAAAAAGTAAAATTTCTTTTTCATGCATGATTTTTTGCAAAGACAAGTGCATTTAAAAGTTTCCTTTTTTCAAATACATTGATCGCTAATTTAGTAGTAAATGCTCTTGATTTTAATAGAATAGTTCAAAACGTAGCTGATAGCCTTCTAAATAAAATCCTCAAAGGATTTTTGTTTTAGGCGATAAAAATTTTTTGACAGTGCTTAGCGTATATGCCAAAAATGCCTTATTTTCATATAAAAATGGCCATTTTGAAAATTAATAACAATAATAATAAAATGTTTTACTAGTTTTAAAACTAGCAAAAAATTTTATTATTATTGTTATTAATTTATAATCTTATAATTATAAGCACATAAAACAAACAAACTAGTTTTCAAAGTTTCATGTTAATATTTTAAAAAAAGTTGCCGAAACCAGTCGGAATTAAGTCAAATTTTGAATGTTTTCTTGTGGTAAATGGAGCAAAAGCATACTGAAAAGAAAGAAAGATGAAGAAAAAAAAAATTTATTATTACTCATCACTTTGTAAAAAGATCTGAACTAAATTACGGTATAAGGTACCGGCACTTTTGGGTACATCATCCATAAAATCTATTTTATCTTAAAATACCTTTTTACTGTTAAGAATTGAACTGAAATTTTTTCAGTAGTATTTATTTAGAGTGATTTAGTATTTTTACGGTAATTCTAACAGTAAAAATTACGGTTAATTGATTTTTTTATGAACACATTCAGGAATAAATAGATTTTTAAGCAAAAAGTTGTGACAACCTGAGATATACTATTTTTTGCTGTAATTTGATCAGCGAAATTTTACGGTGTAGTTTCTCAAATTGGCATAAAGTTGAGCACTTTTAGAATTGTTACATTTTCGCAATAATATGCTAAATAAAAGGGAATGATTGCTAATAGAGGTGTAAAAAATAGAGAAACAGAAATGTGGTATAAAATTTAACTCTGATTGAATGCTCTAGACGTAATGTTTATGATGTTAACAAAACTTTCATAAAAATCCTCTATAGTCTGTCTAAGCTAAGAACTCCTCCCGTCTGAGGCCGTTTGGTGCTACCGAAACAAGAATGGCGCATTTTAGGGAGGGTAGCTTCACTCTAGAACTAACACAATAGACCGAAGAAAAAGATTCCCTCTCTTCCGCCGATCCGAGCCGAAACCACTCCAAAACAGTGACCCCACACCCCTACTCGAAATAGTCGTACCTCGTTACCATAGTCACCGCCAAAGGTCCAGACGAATGTCTAGAGGAGTTCTTATTTTAGACAAACAGTAACTAGCTCAATGTCGTTAGTAATCATTATATTCCCTACTTTGTAAAATAATCCGAATCAAATTATGGTATAAAGAGTGCCGGTACTTTTTATTGTGAAATTCATTTTTATCGGTACGTGTTGCGGTAAAAATCCATTAGTACCGACCGGAACTTGCTTCAGAACAAAAAATCTGAAATACCGTATTTTTTACTGTAGAAATTACTGTAAAATCATTGAATTACTCTAATTAAATACAATATAGTATTTTGTGGAAAAAATAGACTTTTCGTTTAAATTGATTTTGCAGATAATGCACTTAAACTACCTGCTCTATTAACTGTAATTTTATCAAGTACTGTAGGCGTTTTTATAATAATAAAATTTTTGAATTGTTGTAAATATGCAACTTTTACACCATACCTGCTTTTCTTCGTCCATGACACAGTAATCTTTAGCTACTTGTGGTATATCTGACCACTCTTTTTCGGCAAAATCTGCGATAAGCTTAATAAGTTTCGCAGTTTTCTATAAAAAAAATTATGTTAAGCCTTAAATATATACTTAATAGTACAGTGAAAGAAAAAAGGTATCACCCTAAATAGCTTAAATGTAAGTGATGAGATTTTCACTTTCTAGAATTCAATATTAAAATTGAGAAAGATTTGATTAAGATTGGTGCAATGGTCTGCTAATTCTTTAGTACTAATTAATTTACGAAATTAGATACAAAAAACCTTCGATTAAAGACATTACCTACTTTTTGAATTGATTTGAATTTTTTACTCTCAAAATTGTAGGGGGGTTACGACTTTCCAGACCATATGGTCCCGATATTTTTGTCTGGAAAGTGGACGAAATTTGTGGCAACTAGTTATTAGTTTCAGTTTTCGCGTATTTTTAAGCGAATCCAAAAATTATGAAAATTGTTTTACAAGTAAAATTACTATTCGTTCTAGTAAAAGTACTAATTCGTTCTCCATTTAAAATAGCTTTGTTAATTTGAGGCCAAAGATTGGTAATGTTAATAGCACTTTTTGCATATCTCCTAATATCTCGGAAAAATTTTTACAGAATCAAAACTTTTTTGCACAAAATTATAAAAAAATTTTATCTCCATGCAAAAATATTTTTAATAACTATTTATAATATAACTATTTTTAATCACTATTTATTATAATTATTTCTCTTAATTATTTTTTATAATTATTATTTAATTTATTTATGGTTGAAAAGAAAATTGAATGTAAAGGTATACAAATTTTTACATCATTTTAAAGAATGTAATTTTATACGTACCCTGGAGGTCCGTAGGAACAATTTGGGAACCACTGTTTTACGTAGATAAAAATGTCGGTTGTTTTAGTGTTATAAACTTCAATAGATTAAGATTCTAATTATAAAAAGTTATCTTATCTTATCTTTCTCAAAATTGTTTTAGTATGCAAACAACTTTAAAAAAATAATTTTACCTCCTTTGCTCCCATCTGTATGCATCTAGAAAACTCATCATCTAGATCTTTATCTGAAATTAAATTGTTTTCTAATTAGAGGGGGAAAAAACATATGACATTTTTGAAAATTACCCGACTTCCAAGTATCAATATGATCCAGGATAAAAAGACATACAAAAAAATTAAGATATTCGTTGATTAAACTTCCTTCATTAAAGAGAATTTGAGTGAATGAGACTGTATATATATATATATATACGAATATTCGGTCTTCTAATTTCGTGTGTTTAGGTCATTGTTCTTTGAGCCTAATTTTTGGATTTCAGCAGCAATAATAATTTGGCTCCTGCTAAAAATCAATTCAAAACGAGTAAATCCTGTTTTTTTATATAATTATTTTAATTATCAAACTTATTAATTACAAACTTTAAATTATCCTGTAAAATATTATTACCTTGGGCGCATCCATTTTCGGGCACACCCAAGGTAACTAACAAATTAGACGCGCTTCAGTATTGCAGTAAGAACGTGCCATAAGATATCACTTTATTTATGCTTCTGTTTTCATATTCTGTAATCTGGCAATCTTATTACGAAAATAAATCAATCTTGAAAGATAACGGTATGCGTAAGTTCATTTTATTCGCTCCTCACTATGTAAATTTCCTTTCGTGTACTGTTTTCTAATCTCTTTACATTTTATTTTCTGTTTTTTGCTTGATATATTTGTTTGTTTTTTCGTACATATTTTTTACTTAATGTGTTCTAATTTCGTTTCAATTTTTTTGAGTGCTCCTCACACTATTGTATTGATATATTTTGCTTTGGCTATATTAATACAATATTAGAAAGCACTCCTTTTTGCGGATATAATCGTGTGGGCTGATGAAG